GTTCAGGCCTGTAACTCCAGTGCTTAGAGGCTGAGGTATTGTCAGGAATTTGAAGCCGGTCTGGGGTACATAGTATCAGGATAATTAGGAATACAGAATGAGATCCTGTTAGAAAAGAAAGAAGGGTAGAGGTGGCTCGGTAGTCAAGAGCACTGGCTGCTCTTCCAGTGGACCTGAGTTCGATTCCCAACACCAAACCTGGCTTACACCCACCTGTAACTCCAGCTCTAGGGGCTCTTATGCCTTTTCCAGGCTCCAAAGGCACTGCACCCATGTGCATGTACAGAGACACAAATACACACATAATTTACTTATTTAGTTTTTTGAGACAGGGTTTCTCTGTGTAGCTTTGGAGACTGTCCTAGAACTCTGTTGACCAGACATATAATTTAAAATAAAATAAATATTACTAAAAGGGGGAAGGATGAAAGGAAGGAAGGTAGAAGAGGGAAAAAATCGTGCAGCAGTGCCGAGGACATAGCTCAATTGGTAGAATGCTTGATGAGCAAGTCAGACACCCTGGGTTTAATCCCAGACACAGTTTAAATGCTAAGATTACAGCCCAAGCCTAGGACCCAGCAGGTAGAGGTAGGAAGATCAGGAGTTCAAGGTCATCCTCTACCATAAAACAATCTAGAGGTCAGGCTAAGTTACATGAAAGCTTGTTTTAAAAAAATGTAGTATATAGAAATATGTTTATATATTAAATAAATATATGGGAAACAAAAGTGGGGTTTAGGGAAATCAATTTGTTTAAAATTTCAGAAAAGATTAAGGTAATGATTTCAAACTGCTAGTATACAATTCATTATTTTTCCATAGGAAATTGATATGACCAATTCTTTTCTTTCTTTCTTTTTTTTTTTTTTTTTTTTTGGTTTTTTGAGACAGGGTTTCTCTGTATTGTTTTGGAGGCTGTCTTTCTTTCTTTCTTTTTTTTTTTTTTGTTTGGTTTTTTGAGACAGAGTTACTCTGTATGTTTTGGATGGAGACTGTCCTGGAACTTGCTCTATAGACCAGGCTGGCCTCAAACTCACAAGAGATCCATCCACCTGCCTCTGCCTCCCGAGTTCTGGGATTAAAGGCGTGCACCACCACTGCCTGGGCTGTCATAGTTTTTTTCTGGTGAGATGGGAAGCAGAGACAACTGTTAGAAGCTGAAGTGTGTGCAGCAGCAGCAAGAAAAGAGATCTAGATTCAAACAACCACCAAGATCGAAGGAAAGAACCAACTCCCCAAAAGTGTCCTCTGATCTGTCCTCTGTAGGCACATGCACACCCACACCCACACACACAGAGAGAGAGAGAGAGAGAGAGAGAGAGAGAGAGAGAGAGAGAGAGAGAGAGAGAGAGAGAGAGGAGTATCAGTTTCCTTGGCAAGCACTTGTACACAGCAAGGCAAGAGTAACTCCCAAGTCCTCTTCTACGCAGACCGTCGGGCATGTCCTTGATGATTTTGGTCTGCTGAGCCCACCCACCCTTAGCTCTTGATTGTGCAGACAGCTCTTTCCCTTTGGTTATTTCACCTTGACTAGCTGATTGGAATTCAAATGCCATTTCCTGTCTCCCTGGAGGCGTATGTGGAGTCCCAGAACCCTGACTCTGAGAGCACTTGCATTGTTTATGCTTATGCATTTGTCTTTAGGACTATTTGTTCATCCCCCTCACTGAGCAAGGACAGCGTTTGTTTTTATTTACTATTGAGTTTCCAGTGCCTAACACCTTGTTTGGGACAACAAGCCTGTCAACTGTATCAGATGAATGACTGAACATCCACTAAGGCTGTCACTGAGATGTCCCAGGTGATAGAGTACTGACTACACTGTATGGAGCAGATATAGACCCATCATAAAAATGATCTCCTTTGTCTCCAAACAGCAGTTTCTGCCAATGTACTCTTTCAACATAACATTCTATATACTTCAAACACACACAAGGCAAGGAGAAAACCATTTCCTGGTCCCCAGGTTATATTTTGGCATATTAGCAACATTGGCCCTTTATCAAAGGGATAGTGACTACAAGGAAGCCAAAGACTTGGGAAATAAGAAAACAATACTTTATGTTCCTTAAAAAAGCATGTATTAGCCGGGCGGTGGTGGCGCACGCCTTTAATCCCAGCACTCGGGAGGCAGAGGCAGGTGGATCTCTGTGAGTTCGAGGCCAGCCTGGTCTACAGAGCGAGTTCCAGGACAGCCTCCAAAACAATACAGAGAAACCCTGTCTCAAAAAACCAAAAAAAAAAAAAAAAAGAGCATGTATTAATATATTGTATAGTTTCATTATGACATTGTCAACCATGTATAAAATTTATTCGATCATAACTACTCACACCCCTTTTCTTTTTTTTGTCCTCTCCACATTTCTTCTGGTCCTTCTCTTTCTAACTCCTCCCCTTCTATTTTCACCTCTTTGATTTGCATTAGAGTTGCTTACAGGAGCCTGGGAGGTTTGTCACAGGGAGTGTGGCTGGTGGTGACTTGAAAGAAAATGGCCCCCATGAACATAAACACTTCCATCCTCACCTTTTCGAAGTTTACATAGGGACCTGCTGGGTTGCTCCTCCAGGCAGGCTGGCACTGGGCAGAGGAGGCTCAGGGGGATCTGAGCAGGCTCCAGAAGTCAAGACAGCTTTTGACTTCCGACTGCAGAGCACAGACACAGAGAATGCCTCAAACACATGGGAGGGTGTTTTCAACACCTTAACCTCATTCCTGTCTGATAGATTCTTATTCGGGATCTTCATGTCTTCCTCAGTGGGGAGGTTGTCAAGCTTCTTTTGCCCCGAAAGACTTCTTGGCTGGTAAATGCATTAATGGACGTTAGAGAACCACACTTGTTTAGATTGGGGTTTTCTGTTGCGAAATACTCAAGTTCTTCATTCAACCATTTTTAAAACCATTCCTGTGTGGTTGAAAATTTCAGTTGCAGCCAGGCAGTGGTGGTGCACGCCTTTAATCTCAGCACTCGGGAGGCAGAGGCAGGCAGATTTCTGTGAGTTCAAGGCCAGCCTGGTCTATATAATGAGTTGCCAAGGTTACACAAAGAAATCCTGTCTCAAGAAAGAAAAACGAAGCCCACGGAATGGGAAAAAATATTCACTAACACCACATCTGACAGAGGGTTGATCTCCAAAATTTACAAAGAACTCAAGAAGCAAGTCTCCCAAACACTAAAGGATCCAATTAAAAAGTGGGCTGCAGAACTAAATAGAGAATTTTCAATAGAGGAGTCTAAAATGGCTGAGAGGCACTTGAGAAAGTGCTCAACATCCTTAGCCATTTGGGAAATGAAAATCAAAACAACTCTGAGATACCATCTCACTCCTGTCAGAATGGCTAAAATCAAAAACACCAACGACAATTTATGCTGGAGAGGATGTGGTGAAAGGGGAACACTCCTCCATTGCTGGTGGGAGTGCCAACTTGTTCAGCCACTTTGGAAATCAGTATGGAGATTCCTCAGAAAAATGGGAATAAACCTACCACAAGACCCAGCAACTTCACTCTTAGGCATATATCCAAAAGATGCCCATTCATACAACAAGGATTTCTGTTTCACTATGTTCATAGCAGCATTATTTGTAATAGCCAGAACTTGGAAGCAACCTAGATGCCCCTCAACCGAAGAGTGGATAGAGAAAATGTGGTACATTTACACAATGGAGTACTATTCAGCAGAAAAAAACAATGGAATCCTGAAATTTGCAGGCAAATGGATGACACTAGAAGAAACCATCCTGAGTGAGGTAACGCAGTCACAAAAAGAGAAACATGGCATGTACTCTCTCATATATGGATTTTAGACATAGATCTGGGGAGTGCCAGCCTACAATCCTATGGCCAGAGAGTCTGGGAAACAGAAACTTCATTCAGTGGCTGATCGAAGAAGAGGCAGACTCCCTTGGTTAAGTACTGAGCTGAACTCAAGAAAGCCAGTAACAGAGAGGGAGGACTGATGACCAAAGGGATTAAGACTGGGCTGGTTTAACCCCCCAGAAACAGCTGACCTGACAAGGGTTAACTCTTGAATCCCAGGCTGATGCCTGGGAATCCAGCATGGGACTGATCAAGACCCCCTGAATGTGAGTGTCAGTGAGGAGGCCTAGGTAATCTATTGAGCCTTGGGCAGAAGATCAGTATTCATCCCGAGTATACACACGGACTTTGGACTCCCATCCAACAATATGAGGTGCACTCTCACCCTGAACTCTTGGGGGGAGGGTCTGGGCCCTGCCCTGGATGAAATGACAGACTGTGGACACTCCCATGGAGGGCCTTACCCTCCCTGGGGAAATGAGGGGATATTGGGGGGATTGGGGGAAGGGCACGGGAGGAGGGGAGGGAAATGGAGAGGGACCTGGAACTGACTTGTGAAGCAACCTTGTTTCTAATCCAAATTTAAACTTAAAAAAAATTTAAAAAAAGGTAATGAAACATATATATATATATATATATATATATATATATATATCACTATCCCACTTAAAGAAAACTTGGAAATACACGTATGCTTATGCATAGCAAAAGTTGTAATGGGATATATACCCACCATAACAGTAGCAGGGATTATCTTGAGGTTCTGAAACTATTTGTAACAACTTTACTTTTTAATATTGTTGGACTGTTTCACAGTGAACCTAAACTACTAAAATGATCAATGAACTTCATCTCCAATTGGAAATAATTAAATAAGATTTATGCTGTCAAAAAAAGAAAAAGAAAAATGAAAAAGAGCAGGAAATGAAGAGGTTCCAGCTCTTCAGTCTAAGAAAGGTCACTTAAGGGCAGCCTTAAAGCATAAGAAAAGACTGTGATAAGGAACAAGGTGGGGGGCTGGGGAGACTCAGCCCTTAAGAGCACTTAGGGTTCTTGAACTGGAGTGACTTTAGTGCCCAGGACTGACCATCACTCAGGTCCTGTCCTCCACGCTCAACATGCACATACTCGTGCTCACACCCCAATAAAAAATAAATCCACAACCACAGAAAACCTTTTTTTCTTTACCTTTATTCAGCAAGGAAAAGCAACAAAAACACACAAGTCCTATGCTAATGAAGTGTCACTTCACCATAGAAGAAAGATGTGGTACCCAGCCTTGCTAAATACCTGCATGGCAGCAGCAGGGCGCCAGAGAGGCTAAAACAAAAGCCTGGGAAGTCTGAAGCAATCGTGGCCATAAGAGTTATAGAGAATAGTACAAAGGATCTTCTCACCTATCACTGATGCTGCGGAGTGTCACCCAGCGTGTGTGAGGAAGCTCGACCCTGGGGTCCATACCCACCCCTCATTACATCTATTAACATCTACAAGGATTTTGTCTGAATCTCTGGAGAGCAATTTTCAAACATTTTCCTTCATCCCTAAAATTTTAATTAATATTTCCTTAAAGCCAGGATATGCTCCTACCTAAGCAGTGATACTAAATTTGTGAAACTAAAAGTGATACAATACTATCTAATCTACAATTTTTTTTTACTGAAAATTGCCTGTTCATTATGTTGTTATCAAATTTTCTGAGACAGGGTCTCTCTCATGTAGCCAGGACTCCTTGATTTTGAGTCTCCTCCTCCCAAATGCCTAGACTATAGCCATGTACTGCCATGCCCAAAGTCTTAAAAAAGAAAAAAAGAGCTGGCTTGCTGATTCTTTATAGAACACTTGAGATTTAAATTTTATGCAGACTAGCCTTGCTTAGAATGGGATTTTCTGTTGTGAAATACTCAAGTTCTTCATTCAACTATTTCAAAAGCCATTCCTGTGTGGTTGAAAGTTTCAGTCACAGCCAGGAAGCGGTGCTCGCGCGGGCGCGCACACTCCTTTAACTCAGCCTTTGGGAGGCAGAAAAATCTGAATTTGAGGCTACCTGGGGTGTAAATCGAGTTTCAGGATAGCCAGGGCTACACAGAGAAACCCTGATTGGTGGTGGTGGGATGGGATTATTTCTGCGGACTGTCAACTGAGAATCTCATCTTTATGGTGATGAATTAACAACTAGCTCATAAAAGAAAGCTGAAAATCTGGGAGCATGTTACTACAATTACATCAGGTCTCAAACCTGGCACGAATGGCTGAGGTGCCTATTATATATCAAAACTGACGACTCGGTAACCAACCACTCGTCCGTGAGTTCGAGGTCAGACTGGTCTACAAAGTGAATTCCTGGATAGCCAGGGCAGTTACAGAGAAAACCTGTCTGAAAACAAATTCATATAAGCTTCAGAGTCATCCATCTCTCACAGGTCAAACGAACTCCAGATAAATACTCCTGTCAATTAACAGGCTACATTTTCCCACGGTCTATTCCTGAAGGTGCAGGTCTCTCCCCTTCCCCCGGGTCTTAGTACTGCCCTCTCCTAACTACCAGGACCATGGGCCGGAAGGTTACAAGTGTACAGTCAAGATAAAAATTTCCTCTAAACTCCTCTAACTTTGCATTCTCTCCCTAGTCTATCTGTCCCTGCAGGTTTCAAGTCACACTGCTCCAAAGTGGCCTGTACTTCCCCAGGTGGACCTGCAGAACCCAGGCGGGAGGGGTGGGGGGATGGATTCGGAATTCCAGCTTTCTTGAGTCCCTGACAACGCCCCAAAAGGCTGGTATATCAGACCTCAAATGCCCGTGGAAGGGCTAACCGAGGCGCATATTAACATATCAAAACTGATACGGGCACGTTCTCCCAGCATCCTTCAGTCTGTCTCTATTACAGGTCCCCTACCCTGAACTCCAGCCCAGACAGTGGCCCGTCTGCCCTTCCCCATATAACCCAGTCATTTCGGCTGCACCCGCCCCTCCTTTGCTGCTTTGGTATCCTGGCGGATGCTGCAGGTTCTTCTTTTACTTCTCACATGGTATGGCTCAGACTCAATTCACTCTGGACCCTTTCAGATGCCTCCTGCCCAGCTCGCTCTCGAATCTACAAAAACCCTCCACCCACACCCTGCAGCCGGCATGTCCTTTTCTTCCGTTCTTTTATTCAATACATATTTGTTGAGTGCAGAGTTCACGCCGGGCTTTTAGAAGCCTTGAGAATCTATTCAAGAACAAAACCTCTGTTAAGATAAATTAACTTGTTGGACAAATTAAGCTGTTATTTTTTTTAATGTTAGAAGCAGAGAATCCGGCTTTCTTAAATGGGGAAGGAAAGACTCTGCAAAGAGGGGCAGCTATGAAATGCGTGATTTTAGTTTTCTTACTGAGGCATCTCCCAGTAAGAGCGCTGACTTTCCGTCGAAACTCGTTTGTGTAACGATGAATCCAAACTCCAAAGCGCTGTTGGAGCCGCTTCAGGTGCGGTTGTAATCACTTTCTCTACGCCATTCGCTGGCCTGACGTCGGGCCTCCCAGCCTGGTTGCTGAGCGTTCGTTCCTGCCGAGGCCCGTGCTCCCTCCAGGTGTTGCCAATCTCGACAGAGGCGAGCAACAGAGAAATTGAGTGTGGAGAACCCCGAGGCGAAGCGGCTCTCGGGGGAACCGGCTCCTCCAGGCGGCCTCGCCCACTGCAAAGCAATCTGGGTGGTTTTTCCAGATCCCCCGCCCAGTCCCAGCCCCCGCGACTCCAAGGGACGAGAAGGTTGGCTCAGAGACTCCGCGGCTAGGGCGGGGCTGCGAGGCGTCCTTGAAGCCCAGGAGAGGACCCGGGTGTTACCAGCGCCCTCTCGGGGGCGGAGTGCGAGCCAGGCCTCCACCCGCTCTCCCGGATGCCGCTGCCACCTGCACCGTCCGCCACCGGCCTCCAGCCGCACCCTGCCTTACCGGGAAACGCGCGTTGCGGGCCTTCGACTCCTCTCCCTACTCGCCAGAGTCTAGGCTCCCAGTGGGAAAGCCTGATCTCTAGTTTCCCCTGATAAACAGCCCCAGGAGGGTACTGATGGGTTCCAGGGGTTACAAGGATGTGGGGGCTTCATCATTTCATATCAAGAATACACGGGGCCGAAAACCCGGCGCCACGCTAGTAATATTCCGGATAAAATCCGGTTCCCAAGAGTAGGCGGTTTGAAACAGAAAACTCACGGGAACTACACCTCTAGCACTTCTCTAAAATGTCAACATGACCTACCCAGCCGTGAGTGGCTCGTGGTGGGGGCTGGGGGTGGAGTTGCTGGTGACGCAAGAGTCTGTGGTCCTGAATTGAGCTGGAGGCCTTGGTCAAGTGACACCCCAAGAACAAATTCAAGTGGCGGGAGTGGAGAGCGTGGGGATAGGACAGGAAATTTAGCAAAAAGCTTGTTTGGCCCGATTCAGGAAGGACTTTATGAGGCCTGCGGGGCAGATGAATTTTATTTCGTATTCAAGGCAAATCAGTTAACTGCTCTAGTCCTGGAGGGCGTTCCGGTCTCAAACTAGCAGCCGGCACGACGACGATACAGCGAAGTGTACGACAGAGAAGGAGCCGCAGGTCCTTCCTCCCCAGCTGCTGTGGGCGCTGTGATTGCGTCCCGGGGTGCGCCGAGCCAGCCCGGCGTCGGGCTCTCGGCTAATGGGGGGTGGTCTTCGTCCCGAGGTGGAGAGAGCGAGCGCCAGCTCCCGCGCGGGGACGGGCAGGGCTCGCAGGGCTTCTCCGGCCGCTGTCTGCCCTGGAAGGTGTGCTGGGCTCAGGAGCGGCTTTTCCCGGGTTCCGCAACTGCCCGCACCTCCTTCCCGGGCGAACGTAGGCCGGTCCCTCCCCGACGCCGCGCCCTGGGCCTCACCTCTGGCCTGCTTTTGCCTCCTGGCGCCTTGGCCTTCCGCGCGACCCTTCAGCTTCTTCCCCCACCTTGGCCAAGGCTTCCCTCCAGCTCCCTCACCTCGCCGTCCCCTCAAGCAGGGACCCTTCCCCGCCGTCGCAGGTCCTTTGCCCCCCACCCCTTCCCGTTTTGGCCCTGGCTACTCTGCGGGTGACAACCGGCTCTTCCTTGCCCCTCCCTCCTGCCCTCCTCCCCTCCAGCCCTCGCCTCCCCATTCATCCAGCCTTTGTCTCCCGCCCCCTCCTCTCCCTCCTCTAGCCCCCCCCCACCGCTGCCACGTCGTGGTTTGAAGAAGCCAATGGGCGGGCGCCGCCAGGTGTCTCTTACCTGCACCACGTGGGGGAGGGGGAAAGGGGCGGGCAGGTAAAGCCACATCCCAAAACAGAAAAGCTTTCAGCCATTGCGCGCGCCTCCCGGGGGTGCAGCCGGGCTCCTCGGCTTTTTCAGAGACGCACCGGCAATTGGACAGAGAAAGGGCAGGCCTGCTGCTCCCTCCTTCCACCCCCCCTTCCTGCCCTGGGTGTGGAGCGCCCGCCAGGTGTGGGCTTGGGTGGCTGGTTACCGCCTTTTGCCCTGGCGGCCGCGAGGAGGGGGGTGGGCGCTTTCTTTTTCTCTTGGAGGAAGAGGGTTTTAGCACAGGTTTTCTCGTTCTCACTTCCAACCCCACCTCGCCACCTCCCGACCCCCTCCTCCCCTCCCCACCTATCGTCATGACGGCGTCTCCGGATTACTTGGTGGTGCTTTTTGGGATCACTGCTGGGGCCACCGGAGCCAAGCTGGGTTCGGATGAGAAGGAGCTGATCCTGCTGTTATGGAAAGTCGTGGACTTGGCCAACAAGAAGGTACTTCACCACGTTCGGGTTCAAGCAAGGAGGGGGGCAAGAACTTAATTGTAGCAGTTGGAGAGGAGACAGAGGGTTTCTTTTTTCTTTTCTGTTTTTTTTTTGTTTGTTTGTTTGCACGCTTTTGAAGCGGGGCCCCGAGGCCTAGAGGATCCATAGTAGAGTCAAACCTGGTGGCCAACCACCTTGGTTGGAGCCATTTCAGTCTCCTGAAACCTGGCCCAGGTAGAGAGGCCCCGCGCTGCCGAGCCGCGTTCTCTGCCGGTCGTGGGACGCCTGGGCCAGGCTGTGGTGCTTGGGGTGCTGGGGTTCCCTCCAGGGCCTCAGCGAGTTGATCCGGGTAGGGTGGGGGTGGGGCGGGGGAGCTGCGACCGGATCCCTGGGCGTTCAGGGAGCCTTGATTCTGCTGTTGGCTGCCTGGAAAGCCTCGAGCCGCCCGGGGGAAGCCGGGGAGGAGAGAGAATTTCCAAACTGCAAAAGGGGAGCTGATCCCTTATTCTCCACTCTTCACCCCCCGAGGTGGGACAGTTGCACGAAGTACTAGTTAGACCGGATCAGTTGGAACTGACGGAGGACTGTAAAGAAGAAACTAAAATAGACGCCGAAAACCTGTCTTCCGCGCCCCAGCTGGACCAAGCCCTCCGACAGGTGACAGTTTGGGCCGGGCCACGCCGTCCACCCCCGTCCCAGCCGCCCCCAGACCCGACCCAGCCCTGTGGCTCCACGCCCTCGTGGGGCGGTCTCCGCTTGTTTCTGGGGCGGGGTGGCGAGACTCCCAGCCTTGAGTGTGGGAGCCCCGCCTGGGGGTGGGGGCGGGGATCTGGGGGGGCTGCTGGGCTTGGCTTCCTGATCCCCAGGGTCTTGAGATAGACATTCGCTCGACTTCCCGTTGCCTCCCGAGTGGTGTTTGGGTGGGAGAATTTCAGCGAATTTGAATACTGGCTCCCGCAACTCCAACCTCAGCCCCTCTTGAGTCTGCAGCGGAGCCGTGTAGAGTGCGTGCCCTAGAGGGGCAGACCTTCAGTCACCCCGCGCTAGTTCTGGCACCTGAGTGCCCGCCCGAAGTCTGCCTGAAGTCTCGGCCCCAAAGGCTCGGCTTCCTCATTACTTTAGTGCCTTGATTGGAATCCCAGGGAGGGGTTGCAAGTACGAACCTGCTGTTGGGTCACCGTGGAGCTGGCGGGATCCCCAGTTGGAATTGAGGTGACCTAAAAACTGGCTGCTGTCGGTTGCTAGAATCCGGGATAGGGCGGGTCTCAACACCTGTGCCACGATATATGTTCCAAGCTCTCCCAGCTCCTGCCCCTAGCGCACGAGTTTCCTATTAAAGGAATAGGCTATTTCTAGAGTGTTTTCCAAGAAAAGGGTTACCCGCCTTACAGCGTTCTGTACCCCGCTAGTTTATCGGAAATGGGTGCCTTAAAGCTGGAACATCCAAACATTTAAAAGGTAGCACTACGGAATGATGTAATCCGAGGGCAACCTGTAAAAAGAGACTTCCCATAGTCTCTTTCTGACTGTAAGGGCTGCTTCTCCCAAGCAAAAAACTGCAGATTGTTTGGAAAGCGTCCTTGCTTAGAGGCGAGGGGCAGGTTCGCGGGAAAGGGGAAGGGGCGGTCTTTGTGATATGGCCCTCGTGGCTCTGGCTTCAGAGTCCTCAGGACTGCTTCCTCTGGTTATCTTGAAGTTGGACCACTTGGACGTGCTTGTAAAGTCTGCTTTCGTTGCATCCCTCCTGTTCTTGCTCTTGCAGTTTAACCAGTCAGTGAGCAATGAACTGAACATCGGAGTAGGAACCTCCTTCTGTCTGTGTACTGACGGGCAGCTTCATGTCAGGCAGATCTTGCATCCCGAGGCTTCCAAGAAGGTAAGCATGTTGGCTTCTGGTTGTTCTCTGCCGGGTGACTTGAGTTTGAAAACAAACAAAAAACAAACCATACGGTTTATCCAAATCTGTTTATTCTGGTTTGTGGAAAAACTTCTGTACTTCGGGGGTTGACTGTAGACTTTTTAAAACGCATCCAAATTATTCTACTTTTAAAGAAGTGCAAGCGGGGGTCCGGGGGGTGGGGGTTGTTACCTAATGGTGCAGATTTTCGTTTTGGAAAGAAAAATGTTCTGAATCAAAAGGATGGTGGTGACAGTTGCAGAGTGTTAGCGAACTTGGTGTTGCTGTACTTGCAAGCGATAAAACTGGAGGCTTAGCTTGTAACTTGGTGCTGTAATCTAAAAGGGGTTAACGTGATAAAAATTTTACAATTGAAAAACATATGTAATTTTCATGGAGATGTCTGGAATTGCAGTTATTTTATAGGTATCCTTCGCTGATTTAAAACATTTTTTTTTTTGTTTCCAGCTTGACACTCTCCATTTCCCAAAGTTAATATAAGGTTTGACTTTTGTCACTTAAAAGTAGAAAAGACTGCATTGTGGAAATTTTCTTATGTGAAATGCTTTTTCCTTGAAGAAGAATCAAAATCCTTCTAAACATTTTAATACTATTAAGACTGCTTAGATAACCAACATAACATCAAAATGACATTTTAGAACACTTACCCTTTAATTTGAGATGTTGAAAATGGAATTTAAATTTTTTTTTCTTGTAAATGTGGATTTTCTTTTTAAGATAGTCTCACTCTGGAGCCCAGGCTAGCCTCAAATTCATGGCATTCCTGCCTCATCTGTGTGCTGGGGTTCCAGGGATGCCTGAAATGTTGTACCAGGGGGTTCCCGTTACTGACTTTTCTCATGTGGAAAAGACCATGCAGTAAGAAAAGTGAGTCAAAAAAGAAAGAAGAAGAATGGAAAGTGAGTGTTACTCTGGATCTTCTGTTTCTCTTCCTGGGAAAAGTATTTTGGTAGGACAATGAAGAGCATAGACAGCAGTTGAAATTAGTTGTGTCCTGTGCAGCAGAGGGCAGGCACTGAGGTTGAAAAGACTCTGTGAGGCTAAGAAAGTTGGTAGATTGAAATAGACACGGGCAGGTACAGTTAGCTCAGACTTTGTGTTCATTCTTCAAAGTAGGGAGAGCTGGTAAGTTAGTTGAATGTGTAATTATTTGAAAAGTCTGCAGGAGAAACCCTAGGTCTTCCACCTTGAAAGTTGATCACTCCTTTTATAGGAATCTTAGTAACTAGTTGGTGTTGATGGAATGGAATACTATAACCATGTTACTAACTCAGAAGTCTAAAGGATTCCCCTCCAACCCCCAAGTCACAGATGAAGGGCTAAGACTTAATTACTTAATTCTTTCATTGTTGGCAAGAGGGAAATAGCTTTTTATTATAGTTTGCCCCTCCCAATTTTTTGAGATGGTTATAGCCCAGGAGAGTCTTTCAGTGTATTGTGGGATGGCCTCTTACTCAAGAACCCCCCCCATTTCCTCATGTGCTGCGATCCAGGTCAGGGCCAATATTCCCAGCATGGTTTCTTCTGTTAGATTTTTAGATGCCTTGCTTTGCAGGGGAGAAAACTAAAGAAAATCCATGGTAGTTTCCTGAGCCATTTGTATAAAAATAGTGTTGTAACAAAAACTATATGTATTCCTTTACACACAAAATGGCAAAACATGAAAGAAGCTAACTTGGCTACACAGAAAACAATAGATGAAAAAATTCCCTAACATTGAAATATTATATATTGTCTAGAATTCTGTGGGGAAACATTATTTTTGCAGTAGCATTTATACTATACAAACCTGTTTACTTTGCTTTATAATTTAGCATAATGTCAATACATTTATAAACTAAATACAGTGCTAAGTATTTAAATGGGAATAGTAATTTAAGCTGGTGTTTTTCTGTTGTGAGTTATTGCTGTAGGCTATCTTGAGCATAGGGCATTTTGAAGAGTCATGTTTTTGCTGATTTCAGATACAGTATGAGAAGATCATGCAAACTAGGATCTACTAGAGATGTTATTATTTATTTAGCAAACATTCTTTAACATATTTCTGGCTGGATAGATGGTCCAGCAGTTAAGAGCACTTGCTCTTGAAAAGGACCTGGGTTTGGTTCCCAGCAATTACATAGTGGTCACAGCCATCAATAACTCCACTTCCATGGGATCTAATGCCTGCATACAACCTCTGTGGGCACCAGGCTTACACATGTTGTAATACATACATGAAGGCAAAATACTCACAGTTTTTTAAATTAAGAAAACAACATGTATTTCCTTTAAAAAAAAGTAAACGAAAGTTCAAGTCAATGAACACGAATTATTTTGAAATTAAAAATAAAATACTTAAGGCTAAAGATGCTTGCCCCTAAGCTGAATGGAGTTCAGTCCCGAGACCCACATGGTAGAAGGAAAGAACCTGACT